CATTGTCTTGCACTACTTTCTGTCATATCTTTGCCCCTGGCTTCTGCCTCCTGTGTTATCACTCAGTCAAGGGCAGGCCTCTTTGAGGAAATAGCTTCCTGGTAGTAATGACTTCCATGATGGGGGAGGATAAGGCCTTTTTTCAGGAACAGTTTGAAGCATCTCATCCTGTCTCCCCAGGGATGGTGAATTTAAAAAGACTTGAACATCCCTTTTCACCTTTCCAGATGGTACTGTCACCATCCCAGTTGGCAACACTGCTATAGCTAAAATGTTGGGGAAGTGCCAGTTACTAGAATTTCTGGTTATGATGATTTGTATAATCAGACCATCTTAAACCAGGAAGAAGAAAGAACTGGAGGACAGAGATGAGCAACAGATAGAACAGGAGGAACTGCAGGCCCAACAGGCCACTGCAAAAGCTGCCTGGCTCTGCATTGGTCGTCAGTTTATGGCCAGCATTCAACTTCAACTTCCTACAGGCACAAGTCTATAAAAAGCTTCTTTGGATGAGTGCCTGTGACCCAGGCCTATAATCCTAGCTGTTGGGATGCTAAGATCTGAGGACTAGCTGGGCGCTGGTGGCTCACGCCTGTAATCCTAGCTACTCAGGAGGCTGAGATCTGAGGATCGCGGTTCAAAGCCAGCCCGGGCACGTAAGACCTTGAGACTCCTCTTTCCAATAAACCACCAGAAAACCGGAAGTGGCGCTGTAGCTCAAGTGGTAGAACACTCGCCTTGAGCTGAAGAGCTGAGGGACAGCACTCAGGCCCAGAGTTCAAGCCCCACGACCGACAAAAAAAAAAAAAAAAAAGATCTGAGGACTGAGGTTTGAAGCCAGTTCAAGCAGGAAAGGCCAGAAGACTTTCCTGCCCCCTTCCACAAATATTTTTATTATCATTTAGTAGTTGTACAAAGAGTTTACATTTGCCAAAGCAGTTTATGAATACAGTGCATCTTGATCGGTGTTACCCTTTCAACATTCTCACCCACCCCTCCCAACTTACCCCTTCCCTTATTATCCCTTACTTAGGTTATATTAATTGATTGATTGATTGATCGATTTTGTTGTTGTAGCTGCAGATTCTGGGCACTGTCCCTGAGCCTCTTTGTGTTCAAGGCTAGTGCTCTGCCACTTGAGCCACAGCACCATTTCCAGCTTTTTCTTAGTGGTTTATTGAAGTTAAGAGTTTCATGGAGTGGGCTGGCTTCAATCTGTGATCCTCAGATCTCAGTCCCCTGAGTAGCTAGGATTACAGGTGTGAGCCACAGTCACCAGACTATGTACTGAATTTTTTTTTTTTTGGCCATTTAACAAAGCAGTTTATGTGTACAATGCATCTTGATCTGTGTTGTCACTTCAGCATCTTTACCCACCTTCAACCCATCCCTTTCCTTATATTTCTCAATTCTGTGGTACATACAATGTCTCCATTCTCCCCACTTCCCTACTTCATTCTGCTATCCCACCTCCTACCCTTTCCTCTTGTAAGTAACCTTTCCTGGTTACTTATTTTCTTGGGTTTTGACTTAGTTGTTTTAAAGAAAGATATTTTATTTGTGCTCTCCATAGAGTTAGACTTCAGTTGATTCATTTCAGCTAAGTCATTTGTAACCCCTTGCTTACCACCCAGTTTACTTGTATCTTAGTAGGCACATTGTAGCTACTACAAATGAGTAAAAACATGCATCCTGTTGTTTCTCTGGGTCTGTTTTACTTAAATTTTTCCAAGTCTTCCATTTCCTTATGCGTAGTGCACTATCATTCTTTCTGATGGATGAGTAGAATTCCATTGTGTATATAAGCCACATTTTCTTCATCTGTTCATTCATTGAGGGGCATCTGGGCTGATTCCATATCTTGCCTATGGTAAATAATGCTGCAGTGAACATGGTTGTGCTGGTAGCTTTAGGTAAACTTATCCACAGTTAACCACCTTAAAGCTGGAAGAGGAGGTATGGCTCTAGTGGTAGAGCACTAGCCTTGAGCAGAAAAAGCTAGGGAACTGCACCCAGACTTTGAATTGAAGCCTCAGGCCCAATGGGAGCATGTCCACGCTCACTCCCACCACTCCCCTGCTCCCCCAAATGAGTGAGTGACTGGTTTCTTTAAATAGCAATAGTTCAGTGATGAGGGCCATTAAGAATGTAGACTAGAAATAAAAAACAGATGGAGATTATCTGGAGAAACGATTTCCTGTCTCATTAGGAATTTTCTGGACCCATAAACTTGGAGCATAAAACTTAGCAGTGATTATGTACATTATATGTACTTTCACTCAGATGCCACTTGCAGTATGTTTTTCTATTTTCTTTAAAGTTCATGCTACATGTCATGTGTGGTGTGGTGTTTGTGTATGTGTTCTCTGCTGACCTCATTTAGTCATTTTAGTCCCTTGAAGGATTATTGATAATTTATTTACACATTAATTTATTAATCTGTGGTACTGGGGACCAAACTCAGGCCTTGCACTTGGTAAACAAGTGTATTGGACGAAATCGCCAACCCTAAAGGGTTAGTGTTACCTCTTTTGGATGAAGAAACTTGCTTAGATATGACCTTTTACAACATAGCTGCCACATGACAACTAGAACCTTGAATTAGCCATCATGATGCCATTTGGTCTTTTCTGTTTTGCGACACTGAAGCTAAACAAGCAATGATGCCTGTTTTTCCTCTCTCCAGTACTACCATCTTAGTGTGGTACTTGGTACTTTGTTTTCCTATACTTGTTACTCCCTGAGAACATAATTGATGGGCTGGGCATTCCAGGTCATGCCAGTGTTCAGAGTCCTGTGGCACAGTTAGGAAGGAGGCTGAATAAGTAGGACAGCTGTGCAGTGTGCCACTTTCCCTCCTTGGAAGCTTCAAAGTGGAGCTACTGCTCTTCTGCCCCGAGTGCTGATTCACACTGACCCTCTGAGTGTCGTATGCCTGGCGTTTGAGCAGGGCACATACAGGTCATTTCCAAGCCCCATAGTTATCATCAGAGTCAAGTATCTGATCTTTCTGCCTTGGACTGGTGGACTGATTTACTCCTTTCCTGAAAGTGCTAAAAAAACAAAAACAAAAAGCTTTGAAGTACAGAAGTGAACATGAACAATCCCTGCCTTCATTGGAACTGACCATTAGCTGGAAATGCAGATAAATTGTGTGTGTGTGCTACCTGCACTGCCAAATGGTGAGGGGCCATCAAGTACAAGTACAGAGGGTGTGAGAAAGTTAAGCATGCAGAGAAAGGGGGTAGCCAGAGAATCTAGGTGAAGATATAGACATAACAAGGCATGGAGGGACCAGATCTAGAAGGCTGCATTACCTTGAAGGGTAAACGGGTAGGAGGCAGTGGAGGCGATGTGGGTCACAGAACTTTTGGAGGGAGAGGGCTTTAAGGCAGAAGCTTGTATCTTCTCCAAAGGACTTCGTACTCAGACTTGTCTTCTTGGCCACTTGTAGGCCACCTGGGAGAGAACCCTCCAGAAGTGCTGGAGCTGACAGGTGTTCTTGGCTTCCCCCAGTGCACTTTGGGACAGATACCAGGCTTGGGAGCTGCAAGGAGAATCAATGGCAGTTGAGATGTGATTGGGGAGCAAACATAAGTGGTGTTTATCTTCCACATCCTCTCAACTTCCTCTTCAGCACTTGAAGTTACTCCTCCTCCTTCTTCCAGTAGCTCCTAAAAATCTTAGGGTCTCTGTGGCAGTAATGCTTCTAGAGTCAGGGGGTGACCACTGTGGAGGCCTGTGACAAGCTAGGCCTAAGAAGCTGGTCTCTGAAGCTTATACCTCCAGAAGTTGATAAAGTTGTTCAGGGACTTCTGTCCTATACCATGGGCCACCATGGCAAGAAAGTCTTGAAAACCCAACCTGTGCTTCCCTGATTCCCTGCTGTGCATGGAAGAGTGTCACCCCAGCCTACGTGAGTATAGGACCCAGTGCTCAGCTAGAACTCGGTGGTTGGTCTTTATTTACAGCAAGCAAAGTAGGTGGCACAGGAAGCTCAGAAAGTACAAAGCTCCTCCAAGGTCACACAGGGAGGAGTTGGGACTCCCAGTCTTCCTGCCTGATTCCCAGAGCCATTTACAGTCTGTTTTGCCTTATTAGAGGTGGGGGCTACAGGCCATTGGATCCCTGTCCTGCTGTGGGTGGCCATTCCCCGAGGTCCTTCCTGTTCCACACCCAGATGTGAGCCCCATGCCTTGTCACTGTGGTAGGAAGCCAGTGAAGTTGAGGCTCCTTCACAGTGGTTTTTATTTGAGGTCTTCAGAGGGGGGCCCCAAGAACTGGAGGAGATATTTGTGTCTTTTGCATGCCTTTTGCATGTTTCTCCCTGCTCTAATTTCTAGGGCTTCCTTCTCCACCTTGTTCCTAGGGCTGTGTTTACAGAACACACACAGCAAATGCTGCTTTGGGTATCTTACAGAGATAGAAAGAACTGGGCTGTGACCTCCAGGCAGTCAAAGGTTGGGGGGAAGGAAGCATTCAGCCATCTAACATATAACCATGAACAAACAGCAGGAGAAAGGAAAACAAAACAGATTCAAACCAAGTGCTGTGGAAACAGGTGAGCTGGATTCATTAGTCCTGGGAATGAGTGGAGCTGGGAAATTTTCCCTCAGAGCTGGCATTTCAGCTGGCATGGGAACAACTGGTGTGGAGCATGGATGGTGGATGCGGAGACAGGAGGTGGCCGCGCTGTAGCACGTTTTGGGAG